ACATGAGAGAGAAACAACACTAAATAAAGGTAAGGGTTTCACCATGTCCTGTCTTACTTGTAGGTGTGGGGTTTGCCACCAGAAAAATGGCAGCTGTAGCCAAACCCAGTGTAACCATCACCAGGAATGGCGATGTGATAATCATCAAAACAGAAAGTACCTTCAAAAATACAGAGATCTCTTTCAAGCTGGGTGAAGAGTTTGATGAAACCACAGCAGATGACAGGAAAACAAAGGTGAGTCCAGAAGTGTCATTCTTTCTCTCAACAAGGGTATAGGAGTAGGAGGAAGGAGTTGTACTTTGACACCTGCTGTAGAAAGTGCCCCTGGAAAAGGAGTGCGCACCAAGAGTGTTTTGTAGGTTGTTTCCCCCGTACTTCAATACTGTTAGGACTCAGAAACGATCTTCTCTTCAACGTGGAGGATGTATAGCCACACTTTTTGCCTTTTTTCTTTGGCAGAACGTTATAACTCTAGATAATGGCATACTGAACCAGGTGCAGAAATGGGATGGAAAAGAGACTATAATAAAGAGAAAAGTGGTGGATGGAAATCTTGTTGTGGTGAGTTCACTTTTTGTTGTCCAATCACTGCATTCATTTTGCTGAATTGTTTTTTTATTTTTGGCAAATGTTTTATGCTGCATTCAAATGGGGAGATTGAAAACATCTATGTGTCTCTATGCACTTATTCAGCAAGAAGTCTCTCTGAACAAGTCAAGAGTAAGTGTTAATGGTGTTACCAGAAAGGTATGAATGTATTGTTAATATGATGTCACTGCAAAAAGGAAAAAAGGAAAGCTATAACTGAGTTCTGTTAGTTGCTGTTATCTGGTCAGAAGCAGAAGATAACTGCTGCACTTAACTTGATGCCAGTGAGCCCCAACTGCTTATCTGGGCTTTCAGGACACTGTTCTCCGATTTTAGGGAAAACATGTATACTTTGAGGAATCTAGGAGGGGACTAAAAATGTGTTCATAAAGGTAACTAAAACTCTGTAATGCTACAAAGGAGATATGCGTGCAGAATTCCTAAAGAGTTCTGCCCTTCCCTAGACAAAAAAAATGTTTCCACATATTTAACATTTGTGGGTAAAGTCCAGAGGAAAACACATAGAAGTAGTTTTTAATAACAGTTAGGAAAGGGTGAGAAAAACAAGTTTTGTTCTAATAGAAAAATGGATGGCAGCAGAACCTAACATAGCAGTAGCTGATAACAACAGCTGCAAGTCTGAAGATGTGTGAGACTGTGTATGTGCGTGTGTGTGTGACGTGAGAGAAGCCACAAAAGATAAAAGAGAAATGCTCAGCTCCACAGACCAACCACCCCACCACAGAAGTCATTGGAGCCTTCTGTGGAGGCATTTAAGAGGAGATTAGGCATTTCCTTGGGGTGGCTGAAGCAGTGCTTTGATATTCTTTCAGGCTTTTGTTTCATAGAAACATTTTTAACTTTTATTTCTGAAGTTCTCAGACTTGAGTTTCACTGCTCTGGCAATTGGCTTTAAGGGAGGAGAAATGCAAACTCTCTCCAATATTGACTCCCAATGGAAGAGTAATTCTCTATCTTCTGACTAGCAAATATCCCATGAAAGCTAAAAACTGATTAAATTTACCTTTCTTTCTAGGAATGTACGATGAACAATGTAATCTGCAAAAGAGTTTATGAAAAGGCATGAAGAAGCCATCATCACACAGGACTAATGCTGAAAGCTGTAGGAAAAAAAGAACTTCACTGAAGGAAAAAATCCCCACAAAAATATTTTAGACAACTGTACTTTTTACGGATATATTGCAGAACAATTGTATGCAGTCTAAATTGTGGCTGTTCAATAAAATGTCTTGCTTTCTATAACATGCGCTTCTGCTGGAATTTGTCAAAATGGGCTGGTGCTCTTAGCAAGAAAGTTAGCGCTGTGCCTGTTAGCTGTGGCTCCTCTTACTGTGGAAAAAGAGTCAAAGCAAATTCAGAGGGTGCTTCAGGCACATTCCATAACTGAACATGTTCTGTAATGGAGACAGAGGCTACCCGGCTACGAAATATCATTTAGTGGCCTCTCTGTGATCCAGACTGCAAGAAGTCTATGACTAAGGAGTACACAAAACAAAACGAATAAAGGGCTGCTACTTTTCTGGTTTCAAAAGATGAGGGTTATCACTGGGGCAGGGACGAGAGAGATTGTCATGGATGAGGTATGCAGAGTTGGCATCTAGCAGGAGCTGGCAATGGGGCATCTCATCCACAACCCTGATTTGAGAGCAGGCAAAAATGCCTGAATCTTAGACCCTTAAGAATGTATCAGCTGAAGTGGCCTAATTTTGTCCTGTTCTATCTGAAGGGAGAAATTATAGGTGCTATAGCTCTCTAGCTGCAAAGCCCTTCTTATTATTGAGCTTCCCAACTCTTCTTATTCTTGAGCTAACCCCTTCAATTCCCTCTAGGCCCAGACTGCTATTTCACAACTTAGCTTCCATAAATGCAATGATTTCTACAGTTGGGAAGAGCACAAAATCTCAAGCTTTAAGAAGTCTGAGGAAAAAATGGACAAAAAGAATCTGAAAAGATATATGATAGCCACAAAATGAAAAGAAAAAAAAAAAGTTCCAAAAATCTTAATGATTAGGTTAATCACTTGTGAATCAATATTCCAAATATTCCTGACATTCTTAAATCAGCTGTCTGAGGCCATAGTGCTGAGTACTTAATGCCAACAGCAAATATTTCATAGGCTTGAACTTTCTCCTATATGACTCAGGCTGTTCCCAAATTCCTGAACTATTAATACAGTCAGAGAGAGGAAAAGCAATAGCTTTTACCCTCCAAATGAACTAAGGAATAATCTGAGATCAGTTATAAAGGACTATTATCAAACTCTGAAAAAAAAAAGAAAAGAAAAAAAGAAAGAAATAAGACATGAGCAAAAAAGCAACCTATTTTTAATTTGGCTTTCTTGGTTAAGAAATCTCAGCTAACAGAACAGCAGTTGGATAGTGAAAGGAAGTATGCTTCAAAGTACCCTAAAACACAATATTAAATGTACCAAGCACAATAAAAAATTAATTATGAAAGATTGACAATAAAACTACAGTGTAGAGGCAGAAACATACAGACTTTCAAAATGGCAAATAATTTCTTCAAAAAGTCATAGAAGAGATTTGTTCTGCCCCCACGAACATAACTACAAAAATCTTCCAAAAAGTCTTTATTCTTAGAAACTTTTAGGAAAAAAATTTCAAAGAGGAAGGATCTTGAGGACTTTCTCAAAAGATACTGACTGTGAGTTAGGTATCTGCTCTGTACTTTTAATTTCAAACTTTTTTCACATCTTTTAAAATGGAGCACTCTTAGAATGGTAGAAACATATGACATGAAGAGAGATTGTTGCTTACTGTGACAGAAGTGGAGATGATCTTAAGAAACTGCAACATTGACTTAAGCAAGCTGTTTATAAATACTGAAGATCAGACCACAGTTAAATACATCCCATTGTTCCCGCTATGGAGATATTCCATTCCAGGGGTCAAACTTCAATATATGGTCCCATTGCTCACATAAGTGCCCATATTTTCCAAACACCTCAGATTCCCTTAAGTTTCTAAATAAAGCCTGCAGATATAATCAGAATTCTGGCAGCCCGATTTTTTGAGAGTCTAGCATCTAGTGAAGTAATTTATTTTTAAAGCATCACCATTTATTTTAGTAGTCAAATTTAGACTTTGTGAATGAATCAAACAATTTTAAAATGAAAAAAAAGTCATTTAAAGCTTCAATTACAATTGCTACAAATTTCAATAAAGTGGCACTCTGTTTATAAACTTTAATGGACCAGGACCATAAGAAAGTACTGGTGGGCATGTTCAAAACATGTCTAAAAGTGAATCAATGCTACTTCTTATCATTTACATTGTGTACTCACAATCCTTTTGGCTTCTTTGCAATTAAAGAAAAGATTGGTTTCTATTTATATTATTTCTGCTGAAGATAGAATTCCCTGCTCTTGTTCTTTCTAGACTGCAGATCTTTTAAATGGAGCTTCTGATTTTACTTAACGACAAAGAGATAGAGGGTAGCAATGTCAACATTGTTTGAGATGACTTAAGACTGGGGTTTTGTCTGTATAAATAATTCTCTGTTGCTTTTGTTCTTAAGGTTACTGGTACTGCAGTATAGATGTTCTGTTCTGGCTAATCTGCTCCTCTTCAGTTTCTTTGGGCCTGATTTTACAGTGTTCCACTCATCCATTATTTTCCACAGGCACCAGTCTTGCCTTGTTAAAGTGCCTTTCTGTGGATAAACAATGTAAGAACAAAGAATTCCTGCAGAGCAACAGCAGACTATTTCCGTACTATTCCTTGAGAAACAATGGAAAGGTTCATTTAGGAGGAGCTTTCTCATTTCCAGCGATTGGATAAAAGGGATAGCTACTCTTTCATGTGCAAGGTGTTCTAATGCATCTCTGCTTTAGAAAAGTTACCCTGAGGACCACACCTTCACAGGCTGGCATTTATTTATATTTGACAGACACAACATTTCCTTCCGATTATGGGAAAAAGGGGTTGCCCTTTTATTAATTTTCATTTTCACTTACTCTGGACTTTCTCTTCTTACATCACACACAGTTAGACTAGAGAGGCAATAGGAAATTCTATTTAACTTACCTTTGTTGTCCTGAGCAACTGATGGGACAAAAATATTTCGTATATCCAATCAAACATGAGACGTATCCCCACCACCACAGTATAATATGGCATCCCTGGACAGAGGATCCAAACCTCAGTCTCCTTGTGCCAGCATTGGCTCTCTCTGACTCTTTCCATCCTGAATGTGAGAGAGTCAGTTCATGACCTCATCTCCCAGCTAACCACCCTCCTAACAATAAAGGCCTGAGAAGTCCCTGCGTATGGCCGTAACTCAGAAAGTTTCATCATGCAAAAAAAGAACATGCAGCTTTTATCAACAAAAGTAGGAAATAAACCATCATTCTGTTAATATAGCAAATAAAAGTTTTCCCATACCAGGAAGGTTGGTTATGAAGGGGAAGTACCGAATTACCATCAATGATGGTTTAAGCTAAGTGATTTCTTACTTAGTACTTTGAGGTGTCTTGAATTACAATGTTTTAAAATTCCTGCCCTTCAAATATACATATGGACTATGGATTTGTTCTTTGCTTTCATTTTTCACTAACTGCAATGCAATAATTCCAAAAGAGCATCGTTAGGTTATATGTGGAAAACTGAGGCATAGTTGCATGCTCTAATTCATAATGTCACTGCAAGAAGAAATTTTCAGTGGGTTCTTGCATCATCTCGTTTGGAGGGTGAAGAAGGTCTGGCATGAGTGACCTCTTTGTTTCACATAGATTATGGCCCTTCATAACCACAGGAGACCAGGAGTAATCAGGTAAAAACAAGAAACGTTTGAATGCAAGGCCTGTATGGCCACACTGCCTTACTCTGCCCTTAACTTTTTGACAGACCAACCACCCAGGTGTAGAAAAGCAGAGAGAGAGAGGAGCATATTCCTCTTACCAAGCCAATAAACCTGCTCATCTCTCATTAAGTGACTCTGAAAGAAGCACTTCAATGAGTTCACCTGCCAAACACAAAATGTGATGTGAATCTGCGCACTGATGTTCTGAACATATTTGTAATTGTGGAAGAAGAGAGGAAGCAAAGTTTGTCTGTTTCTTCTCTTCATGGTGCTGCTGGAGTTCATGCAGGGCAGCAACTCCAGCATGACGTTATCATTCCGATGCAAAAGACATGCAGAGAACAAGACAATAGTTTGATTTTGTCTTTAAATGGTGGAATACACACCTCCTTTCCAGAGTGGATCATGGCTTCATAGGGACACAGTGATAGCCTGCCTGGTGGCGTTACGTGGCTCAGGCCCCACCAGCACATCACCCACCGACTCTGCCTCACATCTTCATGCCCACGTGTTCCTCACTGAGCTGATTTATTCAGTGCAGGAAGTCGTGGCAGGCGTCACCCCGAGCCTTGGTACTAACACAACTGGCCTTGGACAAGGTGCACATTGTCTGGGCCTGGCATTGCCTCTCCCACTGGCCCCCTCCTGACCGTTATAAGAACGGGGCATCTTTAAAAGGAGGCGACTGAGGTTTGAGCTGGCTGCGCAGTCCCTCTGCCTCCCTCCCAGAACTGCTGTTGCCACTGCCTGTCTTTCGAGAACTGCTGCCTTGCAAAGCCAGTACGATGTGTAACCGATTTGTGGGAACCTGGAAGCTCGTCTCCAGTGAAAATTTTGATGATTATATGAAAGAGTTGGGTGAGAAATGTTATTTCTTTTCCTTTTTTAAAAAATAATTTTTGTTTAGCAATGTCTCTTCTTCATCTTATGCTTTGCTCACAAATCATGTCTTCTTCCTGCCCATAAATACTTTTATTACTTTCTAGCATAGTCTCATTTATTACCTTTTGCATCTAAAATGGAAAAGCAGAAAGGCAGTTGCTGGATTACTTTAATAAATTTGCACCTGTCTGATCTCAATAATCTATTTTCCTCTAATGAGAAGGATCTATGGAAATGCAGGATTTTTTTAGCTTCTCTTTATTACACTATTAAACTCATGACTTGTGATAATTTACAATATATAATGGAGATGATATCTCATGACACTTGGGTTTCAGAGGCCTGAATTCCATGAATGAATCTATCTGTTATTGAAGAATGCC